TTGAAAAATCTTGTAGGAAGTATACGCTGTAAAATTGTAGTTTAGCCCACATTTTTGGTGAAGCAGGAAAAGAATTTAAAAACTGTCGCCACACAATTTGTATAAAAAAATAACTCATTTTTCTATGTTTGATTTCCATCCAATATGATAATAGTTAAAATTTTGCCATATGTTAAAGTTGGAAATAAAATAGGATTTAACCAAAATAGGCTTACAATTAAATTTGACCATGATCTGGAGCCTGTCAGAACCATTTCTTTTTCTTTCTGTTTGGCTTGTACAAATATATTGAAAATGGCTTAAACTAGTTAATATAGTTTTTAATCTGTTTTTGTTTTGTTATAAATAAAGATGTAGTAGGATTTAAAGATTTTATTATTTGATGTAAGATCATTTGAAATTATTTCAACAGCCTGAATGTAATGCAGTGTCTTGACTAATCATTCCAAGTTAAAAAATTAACTCGTGCTGCAAGGTCTTTGTAATGGGGTGTAACAACTCTTTTTATTATGCCCATGCCTTGTAACTTTCTCAATATTACATAATTTTTTATAATGACACTTAATCTTGTCATGAATGTAACCTGTGTTAATACTTGTTAAGCAAATGCTTATCTGAATGAATTTTATTTTCTTTGAATTATTTTATGAAAAGTTGCAGTGTTGTTACATTTAGTCTAGGCATTTCTTAAGATATTAATTTAAAAAGATTGTTCTCGTTAAAATCTGGATATTTTAATAAAAGAACATATTTTTTCTGTTATACTGTTTAGAAAAATTAATTGAACTTCCAAGAAAGAAATTTAATGCAAATTAACAACAAAATTCTCAATGAATATCAAAACCTAAATTTTATTTGAAGTTTTTCAATAAGAATAAATTGTTTGTTAAAAAAGTCATCTTTTTAAAAACAACCACCAATTTTAAGTAAAAAAAATTAAAAAAATAGCAAATACAGAAAACACATAACTTGATCACAATAAGTTAGCATTTTATACATGTGGGTTACCAAAGTAAACAGTTTACCAGAATGAAAGCGTTATCACACACACAATATCTTAACACTACCAGATTCACCCTGTTCTGTATTCTAGCTTTAAAATTTCTTAAATTTTTCATTGTATCTATTTTGTTTTCTGTTCAAAAATCTACATTATTTACTCTACGTGTAAAGAATTTAGAACTGGAAAAGAGAATATAACATTAATTTTCTCCCTTACCAAAGAGGTATGAAATATGGAGAAAATAATGAAAGAAATTTTTATGCAAGAATTAAGGACAATTGCAAGTTTAAATTTTAAGTAACAAAGCAGTACAAAATATTAATATTAAAAAAAATTTTAAAGTGCAAATTTTGTCTTTGGAAATATAATAGAATGGACTGCTTTGTAAAATCTGGTAATGAATATTGAACCACACCCACACATATAATTATTAGTTTCCCAATATTTGAAAGTTATATTGAGAATTTTTCTGTATCCCTTGGATTTCAAGAACTCTTTAAATTTTAATTTTCTAAAACACCTAAGTGATACATTTAACTTATTTCAATATATGGTAGCAGTGGTAGCCAAGTGCTCATAAGTTCACACTGACAAGTTAAAATTCTATTCAGTTTAGATGCTAATGGAGAGCTTCCATGTAGAGACATTGATGCAGTTAAGTCTGTCTAGGCTCAAAAATGCTCGTCAACATGCGGTGTGTATGTTTGAAGAGTTGAGTACCACACACACACAATAATTTCACTCAGTTATCAACCTTGTCACTGGCAGAGGCTCAAAATCATACAGTCTGTCACTAATTCCTTTCATAATTTAAAAATTTCTCAAATTTATAAACAGCATACTCTCTTTGGGATTTACGAGTTGTCTCTTTTAAAGCATATTATTTTTTTTTAAATAAAAATTGTGCAAGATTTTTTTGCTTCCAAACCTAAAAATTATTTTTCAATAATAGTTCATTTTGTTCAATTAAAGTATTTTGATTAGCAAATTATGCGTGCAAAAATTTTGAATTAAATATTCTCAACTATTTAATATTGCACCTAGCAGAGAGAACCTTAGTGCGTATTCTGCTTAAACTTAATGCATTATTCCAAAGAAAGAATACAAGTTAATAAGATGATTCTTCTCAATTTATTTTGAACTCGCATTGCATTTTTGAAACTGCGTAGGTGAACTCTGAATTGTTGAAATATTGTAAATAAATCATTTTATTAATTTTGCAGATTCTTATACTCAGTATGACCTGTCTTTACTTTTATTTCTCTGTTTATGCTAATATTTAAATTATTTTATTAATTTAATTGGAATATTTGTGGTTCATGTGTGTTCGAATGCTCACCAATATCTGTGTTGAATGTAGGAAATCTTTGCCAGAATAAAAAAAGTATAGTGTAACAGAATTTTTGTATTATGTACTAAAAGTTATATTTAACTCTTATATCAACAAAGCTGCCATATTTGTCAGCATGCATTGATAAGATTTTTTAAAATGTTCAGTATTGACTTATTAATATATTTTTATTCTGTTTATACATAACTGTTTTAAATATTTATTATATAGCTATCAAAATGGATATCCAACCAAGAGAAATAAAAGTGTTAGAAACAGTAGATGATATCCAAATACGGAGAGATCAGGTCCTTTCTCGCTATTCCGAGTTTAAAACCGAAGCTCGACACAAAAGAGAACGATTAGAAGATTCTCGAAGATTTCAATATTTTAAGCGTGATGCAGATGAATTGGAATCCTGGATAAATGAAAAGTTACAAGCTGCTTCAGATGAGAGTTATAAAGATCCTACCAATCTTCAGGTAAAATATTCTTAATTTTTCAAAGATGGAAAATTTTTGATAATTACTTCAGTTTTATTTTTTACATGTACTCAAATTTTAGATTGTATTAAAAGAATTTTTTTTGTAGTATAATATTAAAAATAAAGATATTTAAATTCTTATCCTTTAATATTTTTCTCTTGAGTAGTTCTAATCTCATCTTAAGTTCTCATGATTAAACTTTAATCATGAGTTTTAAATTATACTTTCTGTCATAATGCTATATTTATTTTTTTATTAATTTTCTTTTCCATACATACTGTCTCATGAAACATATTTTATTTAAATGTGTTTACAAGTCCCTCTACTCTCTTTTTCTTTTTTACAAAATGATAAATTTTTTGGACCAAGAGCAGCAGATCTGATCAAAATAGTAAATAATAATATATGCGATGTTTTCTACTACTTTAGCCATATAATAAATAAATGGTCTGATAATCAACTGAAACCTTTTAATGTCATTCAAACCAAAGCCCTCTGAATTGCATTAGGACTTCCACAATGGACGCCAAACATTTTACTTTTTAAATTGGCTGGACAGGAAATTCTGTTAGACAGAATAGGAAGACCGGCAAATAAGTATTTCCTTTCTCAAATTTCTAATCAAATCTTTTCTCCATTATATAGCAATAACCCTGAGTCTCTGAATTTAAATATTATGGAAAAGATAAAAATAATATAAATATACTAAATCCTTTAAATGTATGTGCTGTTAATGGTCAAATTATCCCAATCCCTAGAATAACATCTTTTTCAATTCTCCCATGCAAAATATATGTCAATAACTTCAAATTTCAGGATAAAAATTTACCAGTACAAATTATAAGGGGTTTATTTGATGAAACAGTAGATTGTGGATTCCATGACTTCTATATAATAGCTACTGATGCTTCAAAAAAGGAACAAATTACATGTGTTGCAGGTATTATATGAAAAGTTCCTCGTTTGCTTATAGAATCAATCACAAAAATTCTGTTTTACAGCTGAAGCTCTGGGTATCTGTTAAGCTCTAGATGATCCGTCAGTTACAAACAAGAATCTGCTAATTTTATCTGATAGTCTCTCTGTCCTCTCTGCTCTTCAAAATTACTCGATCAAATCCCATAGTGTTATCCATAAATTAGCTAGCAAGATATATATTCTATCTCATTATAATAATCAGATAATTCTACTTTGGATTCCGGGACACTCACATGTATGGTGGAATGAATTAGGGGATAATCTCGCAAGAACTGTCACAGAGTCCAATGTTTACATAGACTGGATCGCCTCAGAAGACATCAGCAAAAAAATATATCAAGAGTGTTTTAAAAAAGCAAATGATAATTTCTGTTCAAGCAAATATTTTGAAAACTTGGGCTATATTCCAAACATAGGCTCAGTCTCTAAGTGGACAAGTAATAGAAGAGAAGAAACCCTTGTACACTTGAATCTTCAGCAAAATGATCATCACTCCAGGACTTATATGAAATTTAATTTATCAGACAATGCAAATTGTAGAATTCATAATTGTTTAAACAACCTGGACCACATCTTGTTGAACTGCAATAGATATATTCACCTTCGAAATCAACTAAAGCATTTTCTCAAAATTGATGCACATTATAACATTACATTCAAAGAATTATTGGAGAAAGCTACATCAAATAGATAAACATTCAGATTTTTTATCCAGAAAATGAAATATTTTGATATCTACCAATTTTATAAATTCTTTAGTTTTTTTAAGGGATAATAGCTTTTGTTGCTCCATATCCCACAAAACCAGAACTGAACTGATAAATTTTTTAGGATTGTTAATACATTTCTTAAATATTTTATAATGCAAAATTATTTTATTTCACAAGCAAATGTTAATTATCTAATAGTAATATGCTCATACTTTTTTTGGCATTCCTTAAATATCTTATTCTTGGTAGTATTTTTTCAATTCCTACTATTAGTTCACGCTCTCCCTATATATATCTTCAAATTTTCAATTGTTAATAAAATACTTTTTATTCATCCACTCAAGTTCAAATACCTTTTTTTTAAACTTGTAGGAGATGACACTTGATGTTAATGCAGTTTTTTCAAATGTTAATTCTTATTTATTAATAAATAAATAGTAACAAATAATAATAATAGTCTAACACCATTTATAAAAAGGAAAATCGCTTGTTGTGTCCCTGTAGCGCAATGGATAGTGTGCGTTGGGCTTCTAATCCAAAGGTCGTGGGTTCGAATCCCACCTGAGATGGCCTAATTTCTGAGAATGTGATTTCGTTTTACTATACTATTTTATCGGAATAAATAAATAAATTTAATTAATGAATAAATAGTAACAGAGACAAAAATAATAGTTCAACGCCATATATAGAAAGGAAAATCGCACTTTCTATTTTCTAACTTAATATTGTGATTTTGTCATATGTATATACATATTTATATTAATTGTAATTATTTAATAAAAAGTAACTAAAATAAAAAATTTCTTTGTTGAGACCTAAGTAGGAATTGACTTAAATTTTTTTTTATTACTTGTTTATATAAAAGTGTTTATATTTTATTTTTTAGGCAAAGATTCAAAAGCATCAAGCTTTTGAATCAGAAGTTGCTGCCCACAGCAATGCTATTGTAGCATTAGATAACACAGGCTCTGAATTGATTAATCAAAACCACTTTGCATCAGATGTCATTAAGGTAGGATTTTTTTTTTTATTTCTGTACATGTGCATTTTTTGTTTTAGTATTAAATTTATGTTTGACAAATATTTATATGCATAAAATTTAATTATAGGTTTTTAAAATTATTTTATATGTTTTTAGTATTCAGTTGAATATGTTATCCTATATGTAAGATTTAATGCATTTTTCTATTTAATTTTTAGAAATTAGAGTAAAAGTAAAATTGATAATGAAAATTATTTTCTGTTTTCAAATAGTTCTTGTAATAATTATTATTGTATTTATTCAAATAATTTATTTTTTAGTATTAACCTCTAAAAACTATTTTTTCTCTCAATTTATGTGAAATTTTATAGGAGACAGTATTATTATACGATAAAAATTAAGTGTTTAAATGAGGGAAAGTATGGAGGAAAACATTGAAAATCTTAATTCGTATTACTACAGTCATGGTTACTTTATTCATATATGTATAGCTCTCTCTATATGATATCTTTTATATTAACCCTCTAACCGGATAGCACGGAAAATTCCGTCAGTGTAAAAATGCTTCGAAAATGGACTGCACGGATTTTTCTGCCTTCAAGTAACGTTTTCAAAAGCGGATTAGCCGCACTTTTCTGAAATCCTTTCCCCCTTTTAAGGTTTAACATCTTGAAAGATAATGAGGGACGGAGGAAGCAACACAGCAGGATTTTTATGGCTCGCAGGGAACCCCGTGTTTTGACCCTGGGTCAATCGTAAAAAATCGAGGGGAAATTTCTTTAGACCCCAGGAAGTGTTAATTTGTTACCTCGTTTTTTTAAAGTTTTGTAAAGTCCCAACGCATAAGTAATATATGTTACAATTCCCTTTTGGTTTCATATTAATTTGAAACTGTAACAAGTTCGGGCGTGTCAGTGCAATCTGCTATTTTATATAGTTAGACAAATTATCTTTTTTAAGTATATTCTTTTGCTTATTTTCTTATTTTAATCAAAGCTTTCAGTTTTTTGAAACATGATTATTTTATTATAAGATGCCAAAAAAAATTAATAAAACACCAAACTCTTTAAAATTTGGAACCTTTTCAATTTTCCAACCACTAAAAATGAATAAATTTAAACTTCATCAAATCATTTGAAACATTTTCTTACACTTTAATAAAAATAATAACGAAAAAAAAAAAAAACTAATTAAGATTTATTAGTTTTTTTTTTTTTTTTTTTAGATTTCAAAGCCTAAGTGTTCAGGGAAGTTTAAGTACAGTGCCTGGTTATATATTGTTAAAATACACCGAATTATATTTGAATTTTAAGTGCTTGAACTTCAGTTTACATCAAAGACAACATGAATGAAGATTTTCACACAGTTTTTTTATAACTTGAATGTTTGAATAAATGGTAATCAAAAATATACGGAAACATTTACAGTAGACATTTATGCATATAAATAAACATAAAAATCAATTTTAAATTCGAGCTATTGAAAAACATTCGAATTATATATTGTTCGAAAATATCTATTTATACAAAATACCTCAACATTTATCTTTTTTAAAGGCTAACTGAATAAGTAATTAAAATCTGGATATATTTTGAAATCTCGACTTTATAAAGCTAGAAATTTTATGTTAGAAATTCCATTTGAAATTTCGAAAATAAAAATGCATCGCTCAGTTAAAAATTATTTTCCATAAGTTTTAGCAATTGTTTGAGTATAATAAAAATTTCAAATTTTATTATATAGCTTCTTTGGTATCTTTTAATATATTTCGGCGCGGTAGCCGAGTGGTATAGGTATCGGAACGTGGCTTGCTTTGTCACGAGTTCGAGCCCAGTACCACTAAAGACCCGCCGTGTAGGGCAGCGATGCACGTTAAATCTGTCGAGAGCTGAAACGTCCTCCCGTTGCTGTGGTGTGGTAGTTAGGAGAGGGGGTGCCAGCTCAGGTGCCGTCCACGTCACTTGACCATGGTTCAAAATTATGTGGTCCGTCGCCAAAAGCCCTCGTGTAGCTGAACAGTGCGACGTTAATATACAATCATTCATTTAATATATTTCGAAGATTTCATACAATTCAGTTGAAAACCGCATGCTAAGAGCAAAAAAATGTACTAAAAAAATTGATGAATATACAATTACAATAAATTCTTACATAGAAGCAAAACTGAGAAGCTAAAGCGTAGGAATAAAAAATTTTGAGTATATCTGTAGTAGTTTTCGAAATATTTATTTTAAAGTTTAGAAAATTTGTGTGCATTATGTTATACTTAATATTAATTAAATGGTTAAAATAATGTGTTAATATTAGTCATGTAATCGTTTGATGACATTCATATACTAATAAAAATTATCATGGTCATTGATGCGAATGTCAAGAATTTTATGTAATTTTAAATTCAGACATTAAGATATTGATGTAGAAAATATAAAACGACCATCTAAAATACATGAAAAATGCAGTCTTCTATAAAATGATCTTGACAAACAAAATCCAGCATTTTCACTTACTATAGAAGAGCCGGCTTAGTCAGGGCGATCTGGAAAACAGAGAGAGAACCGCGGTTTTGATGGATGCCGCTCTAGCTTTTAAAGCTCCCAGGAAAAATTATATACATATAAATTACAAATGCAAAAATAAATCTTGTAATTTTCCATACATTTTTATAACAACGAATTGTGGAATTGGCTTCCAATACATTGTTGTGTTTGACAATATGTAAGGTAACCAACCCTACTTTAGATTTTGTACTACTTTTTTCAGTAATCGTATTCCTTTTAAAATTAATTCATGCAGCCGAAATACACCTTTTGCACCCTTAAAAATTTATGTAAACTATAACGGTTAATTTTAATTTATGCAACTTGTGAAATGTTCATAATTAACCATTTCTGTCTAAACAGTTTACATGAAAAAAAAAAAAAAAAGTTTGGACTCCCTCATTCATTAGGGATTTATATAAGATTCTAACATTAAATTTTATTTTTCACCAAATAGGATCGAGTGGTAGTGTATAGTGCTTCCACACCACAGGTCTGGGGTTCTATTAACGGGTTGCGCAAGGTCGACTCTGCCTTTCATCCCCGCTACATTGGGTCGATAAATGAGTACCAAGCTTGCTTCGGGTCTTAAACACTGAAGGTCTCTCTTCAGACAGACCACCAAATCGGGACATCTGTTCATGCACCTCAGCGTCCAATAGTCACGTGTATTATGATGGGCACAGTAGTTCCTGGCCCTCATGGATTGTTGTGCTTCTGAGTTTGAGTCTTAAGTTTGAGGATTACCTCACTTTGGGGATACCCCTTAGATAAACATGTATTTCCACTCATTTGCAATTAAACATTTTTCTTTCAATTACGTTTATTTCAGAAGGAAGTTTGATTTTTCAAATGTATTTGCTTAATAACATGCATATTTGTGTATTATATTAAACATTTTATCAATCCAAAATTACATGATTTTAGCTCCTCTAAAAGCTTTTAGGATTTTACGACTGATCTTACAATCCATATACGTTTTATAGTAGTGTATTTAAAAATGATAAAGACATTTTTACGACTGTGAGCTTTTATGCCTCGTATATAAATATAAAAAATTGCATTCAGCTACAGTTTTTAAAATGTACTGAAATAAGTGGAAGAATAGGATATTTACATATTATGAATATTTTTGACTGCAGTAAGATATATTTATATTTCAGTTTCTTTACAATTTGAATAGAAGTGTTAAGCCACACACACACATTTTGCGAATAGTTTGATGTTGAGTATAAACCCACATAGGCTGTTTAATATTGTAAAGTGTTTTACTTTGATACCAGCACACACTAAAATAAGGCTCATTTGCAGCTATATGATCAGCTTCAGTGATATTTAAATTTTCAAAAATAGTCTACACGCACGAAAACATTCTTTCACAACCGCACACCACATCTCATACTATATCTTTCCTACAGCAGGAAATATTTGTGTATACTGAAAAATTTAATACAGGATACATTTTCAAGTGTTAAATTTGTTTTTAAAATTTGGTATGAATACATTGTGGAACTGTCAGTTAACTTCACTGAACAAAATTGTTTTAAGTGTACTGTTTTGAAAGACAAAATTAATTAGGGAGAACTTTTCTCACAATAGAATTTGTAATGACTGAATTGTGTGAAAATGTAGTTATCGATGTGTGACATTTTTCCTTGTAATAAAAGAAACAGAAAGATAAGAAATTTAACTTGAGTAGAAAATGGTTAGAAGTACTGTCATGCGCATTTGAAGAAGTATATCCCCCATTAAAATTAAAAATTATTGACTGAATGTGTGTTATGTCCATCACAAATGCCGATGTAGAAAAGGAATTTTTATTTAATACAAGAAGTTCGAAAAAGAGAACAGTAGGAAGGAAAATTAAATTTTTTTTCCGAATTCAGTTAACATAAAAATATATTTTATATGATTTTAATTAAAATAAATTAAAAGTATTGAAATCCTTTTTTATGCTATTTTAATAACTGAATATAGAGAAAGATCGGTTTTATTTCATAAATATAATCATCGTATGTAATATTTATTGTGTTATTGTTTAAAAATGAGA